ATGGGGATTTGGGGGTGTGAATGTAAATTTGGGGGTGTGGATGTGAGCCTGGCACCTCCCTGAGCATTTCCCCATGATTTTGGGGGGTTTTGTGACCCCCTGATTTTCTGTGCCTCTGTTTCAAGCAGCACAGGTGGAGCTGGCTGCTGTCACCTTCAGCAAGGCCTGCCCGCCCCTGTGCGTGTCACTGCAGAGAAAAAGGAGCATTTGGGCTAAAAATCTGCAAAATGGGGGTAAAGAGTTCAAGCCAGCCTGGCTGGCTGCTCTGTGTACACTGCTGTGACCTCAGAGCTGTCACCTGTGCCAGGTGTCCCCTTCCCAGCAGCTCAGCTGGATGACACTGAAACCCAGCCTGGCCTGGCTTGCCAAGGTAGTAGGAGAGCTGGGAATGTTACTGAGATGAGGATTAGTGGGATTCCTAGCAAGGATGGGCTTGAAAATTGGTCAAAGAAGCTTCAGTTTATGGTCAGGTTCAGGGGGCAGTGCTTGGAGCAATGGGTGGTTTGTTAGAGGGGGGATTTATTGATACCAATGACAGAAGTTCGGGCTGGATGATTAAAGAGAAAGCGAGTCATGATAAAAGATCAGGGGTTGGGGTTTAGCTGAGGCATATCATTAAGGAGGCCCCTCTTTAGATTAAAAGGCTAATGCTGGTTCATAGCTCCTTGATGATTAGGATGATATCAGAGAGAATCGATTTCGAAGTTGGCGAGGGGAGTGGATTCTACTACGATTGATAAGAAGCTGAGGGAGGAGAGGCACCAGCACCAGCCTGGCCAGGGCCACCTGCCCTGGGGGTGTCCCCAAGGCTCACCCTGTGCCCCTCTGAGGGTGAGCAGTGCCAGTGCCACCCCTGCTGTCCCCCTGCTGTCCCCCTGCTGTCCCCTGCTCTGTTTGCACTGCAGCTCTGCCTGCATTGTTTGGTCAGAGGGATCTCACCCAGCTGCTTGTCAGCTTTCCTGTTCTGCTGCCTTCTCTACGTGGTTTATTTTTTTTTTAGGTTTAAAAGCTGCAGTGTCTGTTCGTGCTGTGCGTTGTGTGCTCTGTGCACTTGAGCATAAATATCTGTCAGTGTTTATTTGCAATAAAGAGACTTAAAAAAACACAGATAATGTCCTCTGTTCTTTTCCATTGTTTGCTCTGACTCTCCAGTGGGTGCTGGTTTTCTGAGGAGCTCAGGGAGTCCTTGGGATGTGTTTGGAGGGGTGGGCAGGTGTCCTCTGGTTTGGGAATCTGAGTTGAAAATGGGGGCTCTCAAACCCTACTGCTGTTCCCCTTGTCTTCTCACTTTTAAGGGTGTTTTTCCTGGAGGTCAGGATCCCAGGGTTTCCATGGAACTGAGCTTTAAGGTCCTTTCCAAGCAAACCATTCTGGAATTTTCTGTGTGTTCAGCTCCGAGCGATGCTCCCGGCGTCCTCCTGGGCTGCTGAGCTCCAGCTGGAGCTGCTCCCATGGAGAAACCCCTTTTGGAATGCTCTGAAACCCCTTTTGGAATGCTCTGAAACCCTTTAGGAATGTCCTGAAACCCCTTTTGGAATGTTTTCTGAAACTCCTTTTGGGATGCTCTGAAACCCCTTTTGGAATGCTCTCTGAAACCCCTTTTGGAATGTTTTCTAAAACCCCTTTTGGAATGTTTTCTAAAACCCCTTTTGGCCATGGCTTCCTGAGATCAGAGGGTGTCAGAACAGGACATTCCTCTGGCTGCCCTGGAGGGCTCGAGACACTGGGAAGGTGCTCAGAGTCCTTGGCACGGAGTAAAAACACCTGTGCCTTTGATTTTAAACCATGGAAACAATTCCCAACTTTGTGTGGGGAGTTACAAGCCACAAGGGTTTGAGCAGAATAATAGTTAATTTGTCACAGGGTGGAAAAGTAGAATTTTGGAGCTTTTAGAATGGGGGTTCAAGAGGCAAGATGGAGGAATCTGTGTTCTATCTTTCTCCTTCTTCTTCTTCTTCTTCTTCTTCTTCTTCTTCTTCTTCTTCTTCTTCTTCTTCTTGTCCTCCATTTTCTGGGTGATGTTGGCACTTTTGGATTGGTTTAGAGTAGAGACAGACTGTCTAACATAGGTGATAGGTATTGGAAAATTATTGTAAATAATGTACATGTAGTTTTTAGTATAAAAAGCCAACATCGCCCCAAGGGTGGTCAGTGTGCCATGAACCAGCCTGCCAGACAGATCTCAGCAGCTCAGAAAAAGAATGGAATAGATAAAAGAAAATAACCTTGAAAACCAGAGCAGAGGAATCTCGACTTCTTCTTCTTGGGGCTGGGAAAAAAGACTTTTTAAGACCTCAGGAGCCATTCCAGCAACACAAAACCTGAGGAGATGAACTCAGGATGGCCTTGCCCTGGGGTGAAGCAGCTCCCCTGACACCCCTCAGTGCACCCGAGGTCCCAGTGGAGCAGCTCAGCAAGGATTATTTCAAAGACTTGGCACCTCCACACATAAAAACCAAACAATTTCAACATCTGCTTGGGTTGCTTTCAGTTTTTTTGTAGGGTTTTGCTGTGGGGGTGGAATAAACTCTTTCCTTCTTGCTCGGGAGGAGTTAATGATTTATGGGTCAGCGGGCCAGCTCTGATTTCTGCAGAATTGAAGTTTCTCTCTGTGGGGCCAGATCTGAGCGTGTGGGCACTATAAAACTCCTCCTTTGCCTGGGGAGACCTGGAGGAGAGCAGTCCCTGTTCCATCCTGTGAGTGCTGAACACGCCAGGGCTCTCTATCTCCTGCCTCCACTGCCCAGGTAAGGCAAATATCCAAGGGCTGCTCCTGGGAGCTCCTGAGCAGCTCCAGGCCAGGAAATTAAATCAGATTAAACCAAAAGGTGTGAGAAGGCCTGAAAGAAAGGCAGAGGAGTGAAGCAGGTAGGGAGGTGTTGAGTTTGGGTTTAAGGCAGGGAGCACCCAGGTCAGGAAGTTAAATTAATCCAGGAGGGGTGATAAGGGCTGAAAGAAAGGCCCAGGAGTGAAGCAGGGAAATGTTGGGTTTAGGGCAGGGAGCATCCAGGCCAGGAAATTAAATCAGATTAAACCAAAAGGTGTGAGAAGGGCTGAAAGAAAAGCAGAAGAGTGAAGCAGGCATGGAGGTGTTGGGTTTGGGGCAGGGAGCACCCAGGTCAGAAAATTAAATCAGATTAATCCAGGAGGGGTGACAACGATTGAAAGAAAGGTGACTCCAGTAGGATTTCTCCTGACTAGGAATTTATTTCCTTCCAAAGAGATTTATTACTACAAATATAAAGTGTTTTACTCCTAAATTTCCAGAAAAGAAATTCAGCTCCTGCTCCTCTCCTGTGACTGCAGGAACTGCTCAGGGGTGGAGAAATCAGACCTGTGCCTGTAGCTGGGTAAAACACCCCCAAATACCCCTCTGCTCTCTTCACAGGTACTGGCCCAGGAGGGGAATGTGGTGACATCTGTGGGACCCCCAGGCAGGAATAACCATGCCGGCTTTGGAGCTGGGGAGGCAGAGGAGCTGTGCAGCCGTGCTTGGGTCCCTCCTCACTGCTGCTCTCATTGTCACTGTCCACAGTAAGTGCACGAGTCCACCAGGATGGAATGAGACCCCTGGAGGAAAACCTTTTTCTGGGTTTTACAAGTCATTAATCCTTCTCTTTTCCTCATTGCTTGCGCACTTCAAGGCCTCTGTAAATCTTTGTGATCAGCTCTTCCTTTGCCTTTTTTTTTCTCTTTTTGTGGGAAGCAGGTACAAAACTATTGTAGCTGAAAAAGTGCAATAATTTATACTAAGTTGGGAGAAGAAATGCTTCATCTGGGCTTTGTGTCCAGCCTTTGAA